CCGCCGCCGCGGGGCGCGCCGCGCAGGCAGGAGGCGCCCGGTAGGGGGCGCGGGGCCGCCGCGGCCGCAGCCGCGGATGCCGTGGCCCTGGCGCGGAGGACCTCGGATGCGGAGGGGAAGAGCAGCAGCTGCGGCATGCTGTGGCTCCGCGGCATAACCTCAAGATCATTAAAGCGCTCCCTCCGCTCCCTCTTCGCAGCCGCGATCGCCAGTGCGCCGCTCGCGGCGCGCCGGCCTGGCTCGGCGCGGGCGCCGCCGTCGGCAGCGGCCGGCGCCGCCCGCAGGCGCAGGACCTCGGACGCCGGCGGGAACACCAGCATCCCGGGCATGCTCATGCTGGCAGAGTTGATTCCAAAGTCGGCGGACGCGCGCCGCGCCCGAGCTGCGGGCACGGCCGGGGCGGCAAGGGCACCGCCGCCGCCGCCGCCGACTGCACACGAGAAGATGGACAGGCAGCTCATTTCAGCCTGAGGCAGCATCGCGGCGGCGGACGCGTCGCGCCCGGGGTCCAATAGCGGCGCCGAATCGAGGTCATCTGCATCCCGCGCGCGCCTCTCCGGCCCGCCCGCGGCCGAGCCCGGCCGCGCGCCGGAGAACGAGCGCCGTAGGAGCTCGATCGCGCGGCCGGCGCTGGAGCTGCAGGCCGGCAGCGAGGCGCTGGAGCCGCCCACGTCCCCGGCTGCATCGCTGCCGTCGTCGCCGCCGCCGTCGTCGCTGTCGTGGTCGCCGCCGCCCTGGGGGGCAGGCGCGCCGCCGTCCTCCTGCCCGGCCCAGCCGCCTGCGACATCAGGCGGGTCGAAGGCCCCAGCTTCCAGCTCGTCCGCGGGGTCGTCGGCGTTGTCGGCCCTCGCAATGCCGGCACCCGCCAGCCGCCACGACCTGCAGGGTGGGGAATCGGATTAGATCCCCGGCCGTCATCAAAGGAAGATGCCGGCCAGACGGGTCACGCCGCGGGCGACGGCGCTGCCGCACGCGCCCCGCGCCGGGCGCGGCGGCGGCGTGTGGGGGGAAGCCTTTGTCCCCGGGCTGTTGATGCTGCAGCAGCCCCTTGGCGCAACCGGCCACCCGAGAGAGGGGCCTCAGGCCCCTACCTTTCCGTCCGTCGCCACCGCCTTGCCACCGTCCCGCCGCCCAAAGTAACACACACACCCCTCGCCTCAGGTTGCGGCTTGGCTCCCCCTGTCCGCCGCCCACACTCCCCACCCCCCCCC